TGTTATAACCATAAAATAGTTGAAATTACCATAAAAATGATTCAAGTGACTATAATTTTATAGTTATATTTTGGGACAACCATATTTTTTATGGTAATTTCAACTATTTTATGGTTATAACAGCTATAATTATAGTCATTTTAGGTTGCCAATTATAACATTTGTTGCTGGAACTATATATATAGTTACTGTTATTATTATTATAGTAGTAGTAATCATAATTATAGTAATATATAATTATAGTTACAAATACCAAACATTTTTCTCTCTGTGCGGCTGTACTGTAACTATTAATCTTCATAACTCGAGATTTACTTAATCAAAAGATACTTTGTTATAGGGTTTTAAAAAACTCTTGACATCGGCTATTAGATTCTAGAATAAAAAGTAGGATGTTCCATTTAAAAAAATCGATGTGACCTTGATCTGACCTTGGCAGAGCCAAGGTCAAATTGATATGATCAATAAATACATCTTTTGGAATCCCACAACTTTGGTCTGAACATATTTTCGATTGAATCTTATCCTGTGGAGATAAAAAGGGTGTACGGGTGGTCTAAAACACCCTGTATATAGAAAGTTAAAACAATAATTAGTAACAGGACTGCCACGTCTTGAAATATTAAGACGTTAAATTAGGTATATACAACTCAACATAAAATAGAGAACACTTTCGAACACGCTCAAAATTGCGCAATATTCAGAACAGCGTAATTCGGTGAAAAATTATCGCAGACCAAAAATCGGAAAAGTATTCGAAAGTGTTCCCTATTTTTTGTTAAATAGTGTATATTCAATTATGTATATTCAAATAACTATTCATATTGTACATTCAAATAGCTGTTAATAGTTATATGCTTACCCTGTCATCTTTTGTTCTTTATCAGTGTTTTGCTTCTCTTCTTTCTCTTGGATTTCTTTATCTTGTTTGTCTTCCTCCTCTTGGACTTCTTCATTTTGTTTCTCTTTCTTTTCTTGGGTTCCTTTATTTTGTTTTCCTTCCTTCTCTTCGATTTCCTTATTTTGTTTCTCTTTCTTTTCTCGATTTTCTTTATCTGTCTGTTTTTCATTGGTCTTCTTTTCTGGATGAAGTTGTCGTATGTCGCTCGATGTACAAGTTGTATGAGTCGCCAAATCAACTAAGCTAGAAGCCGAGATAGTCGATGTACGCTTCGATAAACTTTTCCATATAAATTTGGATTTTGCTCCTCCGTGACTCTCAATTGATGAGAATGACATGGCTCTTTGCGCAGAAGTCTTATAAATAAAATTATATGGCTCTCTTTAGTCATTTGTGTTGAACATTTTTTGGTCAATTTTCATTTAATATTGTTCAAATATAATTGTATAGAAGAATTGAAATTTGACTGACAAAGTAAAATAGGGATTTTAGGGTTCAATGAATTTTGTCACTTAACAAAATTTTGAACCTTAACAATTCTTAACAGACCTTAATCAGCATTTCTAAGCCTCTTTCTTCCTTGAGACTACAAAGACTGCTACATTTAGTCTTAAAAGATAAGTGGACCACGTCAATAGTTGAACGACGATTCGACAGCGCTAATTCCTGAGAAAATTTTTGTTCTTTCTCGCGCGCTTTTTCCGCACGAACATCTTCCAGCTTCTTGGCATGCCATTCTACGGGATGTATCATCATCATTCCAACGACGCTATGAAAGCTTATAGCGCCTATTACACAGGTCTACAAAAAAGGGGGTCTTGGATGTTGTCGGGAAGCTGTGGGTCATTTCCGAAGTAATTTTCTGCGTAGAATCCGAATCTGAAACCAGAATTGGCCCATCACGTCAGGATTTTGAGATATTAGGGGATATATACTCGAAAAATGCGTTTTTATGCTACTTTAGAGGTTATGTACAGGACGCAACCAATTTTTTGGGTCTTTTGTGCTATTTGCATCATTTAGTAATATTCTTACCCTTCAAAATGAGATATTGATCGACTACCTACGATTTTTTTTCGCCAAGTTACGGGCATTTTAATTTAATGACTCAACACATGATTTACAAGCTACGTGTGGAGCCCAAGACTTATCTTGATTGGATATCGAAATGTTGAAGTAATTGCGGTAAAATGATTTCACATTATCTTCAAGCTTTATCCTGTTCTTAACAAACGTGAAACGACCACAAATATAACAAAAACTGTTAGGATCATTTAAACACTTACGCGGGGCCATTGTTAAGACAGCAAACAGTCACAATTGTGACTGTTTATATATTAGGACCTTGAATAACGGACAGCGCGTCTTGTGCGCTGCGGCTCTGAGTGCAAGGCGTCTACCAACTTTAAACAAATCATTAGTTTTAAACTTATTAATGCAATGAAAATGAAACTTTCCAGAACATTTGTTCATATCCGAATGAACAACTTTCTCGCTGAAAGTTTTAGGATGCTCGAAATTCGCTCGATAAACGAAGCACCTGAATGCATAAAAAAGGATATTTTGCAGGTGTGTATAAAAAAAATAATAAGTTGTTTGTTTATTGACAAATATCGGTTTTTCTTTCTTCACTAGACGTGGAAAACTCTAATGATCATAACTTCGAAAATAGCAAAAAAACGCATTTTTCGAGTATATATCCTCAAATATCTCAAAATCCTGACGTGATAGGCCAATTCTGATTTCAGATTCGGATTCTACGCAGAAAATTACGTCGGAAATGACCCACAGCTTCCCAACAACAAAACCTTGTTGACCTGTGTTATTGCCGCAGTACCTAACACAAATGCCAAACAAAAATGAATTATAACAATTCTCCAGAACTTTATCTTTGTAACACTTACCGCGAAAACCGTAGATTGGTAGCATCTTTTCACTTAATATAGGATAAATAATTCCACCGAATGCAATGATGACTTGCGACGCGTACATCACCTGAAAGAAAGAGAAAACTTTTTAATAAACGGAAAGAATTCAACATTTTTAAACAGATATAATAATTAACCATTAATTGACTTACTTTTGCTCTTTTCTTTACAAAATACGAGTTGAAAACTGTGTTGGTAACTGTAAAAATTAGGCCCAATCCAAAACCTTCAAAAAAACTGATAATAGGTATTTGAAATACGTTACTGATAAAGGCTAAGGCGATGTTAGGTAACACATGGAAGAGTACACCTGCGATTCCGACCAGCCTTAAAGAATATCTCTTCAGCAATATATTGGTGAACACGCCTACAAAAATAATTTTTTATGTTTAAATGGAAAAAACATAAAAGCATAAATAGAAGAAATATTTTTTTGCCAATATGAATAAAAAATGCTGTCTAAAAAATATAACTTTCTACATAAACTAAGAATCTCAAAAGTCTGAATAATTTTTATAATAAATAATAATATCATTTTTAGACCGCGCGTATGTGAGAGACACAACCGATAAATTAGAGCCTTATACGGTCGAAGCTAGATCTTGAAATTTTATAATAAAATTTATTATTTCTTATTTATATCATAATTTAATAACTATTAATTATATATTATCTTTAAGTTTCAAACATCTGCATTTGCAAAATTTTATTATTTTCAGATATTATATTATCAAGATATTTTACACTAATGATATAATAAATAAATTTGCTTATATAATAATAAAAGTTAGATGTGTGGAAATTCTATTTATTTTCTTATTGAAGGATTTTATTTAACTTATAATAAAATTTAGTATCTTGGATCTTTTATTCAATGTAAAGACCTCCGTTGACAGTAAAGTACATTTCTTCACTAAAAATAATACACTGTTAAGTTAATAATTTCGATATATTTCAAGAAAGTGCATAATAACAGACTAGAGCGTTTTTTTTATAAACAAAAATTCGACTACATTTAGAAATTCGACTACATTTGTATAAAAGTGTCAGTGGTAAAACTTGCAGCAAAAAGCTGATTGACTTAACTAACATTGATAAGAGCGGAAAAATAACGTTTATTTCGAAAACCACTTTATCTTCTTATCATAGAATGCAAGTGTCTCTATCAAGAAAAGTTTTTTTTTTATATCGAAGAAAAGAACAATGCAAAAAGTATACATTTTTGCAAATTCACTATTTACAAATTGTTTCTATTAAATGTATACATAAATTTTTAATCAATAAGTATGAAAATGTAATTTACATTAATCTTTTTTTTAATTTTAATTATTAAACATGTTACATGCACTTACTGGCAATAGAATAAGTGATCGCATAAATGGAATTACCGATGCTTGTTACCGTGCCCGCATACCCGGAATCTTGCAAGAAGTCATCAAAGATTATGGCAAATGTTGATGCTTGGCCTACTATAATGAACTGGAACAGCGAGAAAAAGAATTGTTATTAATAATTATAAGTATGGCTCAATTAGAATAAATCAATAATTAAAAGTAGGGCTACGAGCCAGTTACAAAATAAAGAATATTTAATAATCTTTCATACAAACGTTTCGACACCGATCGGGTCATTTTCAATGTAAACAACAAGAAATATTATATAAATTATATAAATCGGAATATTCGGTCGAAACATTTGTACAAAAGATTATAAAATATTCTTTATTTTGTAATAATTCAATAATTAAAAGTAGGGCTCGTAGCCCTACTTTTAATTATTGAATTGTTATTAATTTTTCATTACATATCTGTAGCCATAATTCAACAAATTTGTGATAAAAAAAGTTTCTGAAATAATTTTTAAGTTAATGTTACTTGAAGAGTGATATATTCGAGAATATATCTATTTCAATAGCTCAATGTGTGTTGAACAATACTTCATATCTACCATGCATTATTATTAAACTGACCGTAATTAATATCATGGCTAGTGCAATCATCCATCCCCAGCCACCGTCTGGCGCCAAATCTTCTAGAGTAATTTTATCCTCTTCATTTATCGGTTCTTCTTCCTTTTCAGATATACTATTTTTTTCTTCGATATCGCTGTTGATAGTGTGCGTATCTATTATCATTCTATCGACTTCTGTCATCGTCATGTTGCAATAATCGTTACCCTAATTTATTTGAGACATTAAAAAACATCACGATTTCCGCAAAATAAGATAATATATTAAAAAAGTTATTTAGCCAAAGATAAATAAATCATAAATACGAAAATAACATTTAAATATTGACAAATGAGAAGGGTTACGAGCCATATGCAACAAAAGACATTTTCTAAAAAATTCCTATAATATAAAAATAACAATAAAATAATTTAACTTTAATTGAACATCGCAAAAGAGATAACATAAAACGCATATTTAGCATTAAACTTAAAATTAAAACATAAACTTAAAGTTAAAACAGACAGTTCCACCTCGGTCGAGTCATTTTCAATGTAAATAATCCAGTAAATTATATAATATGTATAACAAACGCATTCCTTATCAACGGTCAAATGATAAAATATTTTCAGTTTAAAAGATTCATTTATCGTGAAAGTAGAACCAACAAATTATTTCTTATCTACAATCTTACAACAAATTAAATTACAATCCTTTGCGTAACAATTATAATGATAATCATATATAGATATATAGTATATTAGTGCCAAATTAATTACAAATATATCTACCTTGAATAAACGTAGTGATAAATCCAACAAAATTAGAGAAACACAATAAAGCTGTCACAAATTTAAAAATTTAGCCATGTTAGGTGTATTTATAAGAACAAATGTATCTCTCTCTCTCAAACGGTGTCAAGCGACGTTATGAGAAGGAACACAAAGAAATAAAGGAAAGTAGGGAATACTAGGAGGAGGCAGAGAACAAACTAAGAAGGGGAAAGAGGTTGAATAATGTTGAGGCATGGATCCGGCAGAGAATCTGTATCGTTCTGTTTGTTCAACCCATGTTTCTGTCTTTTGATGTGAACCATCTCCGATATCAATCTCTTGTTATAAGAGGTTTCGATATCCAGAATCTCAACGTTATCCCAGCCAAAACCATGATTCTGATCAATACGATGATTGGTGATGACCGTCGGAGACTTTGATCCTATTTATATCAGAAACATGTTCACTCAACTTCGTCTTCAACTGCCTCTTCGTCTGATCTACATAACTGACATCGCAATCATCACAAGAGATCTTATAAATCACATTTTGATTACAGAAATGATCCAACTGGTCTTTGCACTTCTTAATAAAATACCTTAATGTATAATATTCGGTATAGAATATGTCAATTTACAACGGCACCTATTAGCAATTGGAATAAACTTTTCAGATTAATTCATTTAAAATTTGTGACTCAGCTTTATTGCGTTTCTCTAATTTTGTTGGATTCATCACCACGTTTATTCAAGGTAGATATATTTGTAATTAATTTGGCACTACTATACTATATATCTATATATGATTATCATTATAATTGTTACTCAAAGGATTGTAATTTAATTTGTTGTAAAATTGTAGATCGGAAATAATTTATTGGTTCTACTTTCGATAACAAAATGAATCTTTTGGATTGAAAATATTTTATCATTTGACCGTTGATAAGGAATGCGTTCGTTATACATATTATATAATTTACTGGATTATTTACATTGAAAGTGATCCGACCGAGGTCGAAACTATCTGTTTTAACTTTAAGTTTATGTTTTAATTTTAAGTTTAATGCTAAATATGCGTTTTATGTTATCTCTTTTGCGATCTCTTTTTCAATTAACGCTAAATTATTTTATTGTTATTTTTATGTTAAAGGAATTTTTTAGAAAATGTCTTTTGTTGCATATGGCTCGTAACTCTTCTCATTTGTCAATTTGTTCTCATTGAACCTCTCTTATTTAAAAGTTTTTTTATTTAAATATTGTATTTTAATTATTATTAAAAACAAGGAAAAAATTTAAATAATAAAAATATAATATTTTATATATTCGAGTCTGCCATAATATCTGATAGATAAATAATTTATAAAAATCAATTTAATAATTAATTTAATAAATATATAATAAATTATTTTTAAAAATATCTAATTAATATTGTATATATAAATAACAATATCAAATGTAATAAATTAACCGATAAAATACGTTGATTTAAAAGGAATTGCCAAATGTGAGCCGACACCAGTTGTTCGTGTGTAATTCAATGTGTATATTAAAAAATGTGATTACAGACGTTTTCAACCCTATTCAGTGTAGAATATGTGTTTAAGATAAACAATGCAACCAGTCTTACATCCTATATATACAATAAATTTAATTATATTAGCACATTAGAGTTATAGCAGCTGGAATGGATTAATTTAATCTATTGCTAGATCACAAGGAAATGTTTGAGTCTTCGAATATTTTTTGGTTTGTTCATTCAATTCGCTGTGAATTAGTTTGTGTGATCTAACAATCAATCTCTGTAGTTGGTACTATAGTTCAAGATTTTGTCATTAACACTTATAGGCATTCGCAGTTTTTATGTATTGCTCATTTGTCATATATCACGAGGCATTATAATTATGCGCAGCATTTTCGATTAAAATCAAAGTATTTCAATATTAGATCGAGCTAGCTGTTTCCGAAGTCGAATGCTATAAGTTGAACACCGGTTTTAGTACCCAGACAGCACACGACATCCATTGGACATCCAGACTTGGTTTTAATCTGGTCCAAACATCCATGGACGTAGTACGAATGTTTTAAAAATGTACGTTATTCAACATACAAAGTATGTTTACATTTGGACATTTAAAAAATGTCCATTTCATGTAAAAAATTTTCTAAGCTACTCGCATTGCTTTCGCTGACTTGACGTTAAAATTTTTTAAAAATCGCAAGGAGTTTTATTTTTGTTACCTCCGGTAACGAAAATTTACCAAATTAAAGCTTAGTTCAGACAGTACGCAGCAAGCGGCAAGTCGAGCAGCTTGCTACTTGCAGTGATAAGAATTTGGAATCTTTCGTTTCCAACGTGCAGTCAGCCAAGGCTGCGTTCAGAATCATCATTTGAATACACCCAGGTGTCGTGTTATCCTTGTTTGCATTCATGAACAACAAGGATAAAACAATAACATCTGGGTGCATCCGGACGACGATTTTGAACGCACCCCAGTCAGAGACCAGTGGGGAGAATAGAATACCAGAGTCTGGCCTATAGTGGAGAGGATGGCTAGTAGAGATCCTCAAGTAAGAGATACGCGAAGAGATACTAAGGGCCGATTGTTCTTTCGGTAAAGTTTACTTGTTATAAGTAAATCTGGCAATCTGCGTGATGGGGTAATTTTGCTACTTATCTAACAGGTAAATTTTACCAAAAGATGGAACAATCGGCCATAAGAGAGACTAAGAGATACTAAAAGAGATACAACGTAAGAGATACTTGAGGGTCTCTAATGCGCTTAGTTCACACTAGACGCGATAGGCGATATCTTGAGAAATTGACTTGAGAAATTGACTCTTAGTAGGATAAAGACCTGTTTTTGACATTCACCTGGAAAGGCCAACACAATAGATTTCAAATGGATTTGTCTTCTATAGATCCGTATTCTGACGCAAGACCAGATAATGCTAAGGTAGTTCATATCCATTTAGACCTATTCGTCGATTTTAATGAAACAGTCCTTCGCGGTAAGGTCATTTTATTTATAGAAATGACATCTGGATATGACCAAATAATTTTAGATTTCTACCAACTCAATGAAGACAAGGATAAGATAAGTGTCACAGATTATCTAACTGGCGTTAATTTAGAATATGCCATCACTAAAAATGTTAATAGTTATGGAAGTAAATTTACTATTCAGTTACCGTTGAAATATAAACATGATGTAAATGGATATAAATATAAATATCGCTTGGATACATATTATTTCCATTATAATTATAAAATTCAGATTGAGTGTGAAACATGTAAAGGTTCTTCTGCACTATATTGGCTGAGAAGTGACCAAACTTCTGATGGTACATATCCTATGCTAATAACTAACAACAAGATTTCTGTACCAAAAGATTTCAATTTCGTTACAATATGTGGGGTTATATGTAACCAAATAATAAATGTTGAAGACCGATGCAAACACATATTTTTTGAAACGATTCTGATGCCATCATATACAATGATTATTATGATTGCTTCATTAGAAGATATACAATATGCTCCGTATGATAATGTCACTTTGTGGGCTGAAAATAAATTTATTGAACAAAGTAAAATAATGTTGGTAAATATTATTCAATGCTCACAATGCCAAAGCTTATCTGACAGGTAAACTTTACCAAAAGATGGAACAATCGGCCCTAAGAGAGACTAAGAGATACTAAAAGAGATACAACGTAAGAGATACTTGAGGGTCTCTAATGCGCTTAGTTCACACTAGACGCGATGGGCGATATCCAATGAAAGCTCTACTTTTTCTTACGCGATGATGTAAAGCAGAGCTCTCATTGGCTATCTATATATTCTTATAAGAATGATTTTGTCTGGATTGTGGTTTAAAATTTGTTTAATGTATAATATTAATTTGGTCCAGTTTTAGTCCATTGCGTCCTAAATTAGACGTTTTTAAGAAATCCAAAATGGTAACACTGGATGTTTTCGAAACGTTTTTAAAATATCCATGGATCTCTAATCTGGACGTTTTTAATATATCCAAAACGTTCAACATGTACGTTTTAAATACATTTTTAAAACGTTACTGTGCTGTCTGGGTATGGACTTATGTAATAGGAGCTTATTCTCGATAGAGAGTTTGGACCTGTGTCTGATCAGCCAATATATTTTGAGCTTAAAACCAAGTTACTTTTGTTTAGCAAAAATGCAATTTTTGCAGGTAAGTTGCCGAGCAAGGTGAATTCCAAGTATTTAAACGTACTTGCGGTATCTGTTGGTTGTTTAGGTTTAGGCTGACCGGAGGACATGAATCTCTTCTTGTTATAAAATGTGACTTAGATGCATTTTGACTCATTGATCTAAATACGGCATTTTTTTAACCAATATTGAATTTCAAATAAGTTCGATTGTAGGAGCTGAGAGAGTCAGTAACGTAATTATAATAATATATTTTATTTTTAATTATGATAGGTGCTTTTTTAGAATATTTTTT